TTGTCATTTAGGATGACTTTGACAGGGCAGACGTCTGTTGTGGACGTGTTTTATATCACAAACGAACTGTGATGTGTCAGAACATAAACACTGCTTTCTTGATTTAGACGATGATATCTTGATTCTCCATTAAAAAATCATTATTTAATTAAAAACATCTCAAGGTTTTATCTCATATATTCTTTTCGGAATAAACTAATGTGAGATGTTTGAACATTCAATATTCAAGGCTGAGGTGCGGTGGGGTAGCGGTCATAGCGTTCTGTGGTCACGGCAAAGGCCCGGGTTCGATTCCCCTCATGGGTACAATGTGTGAAACCCATGTCTGGTGTCCCTCGTCATGCTATTGCTGGGATATGGCTAAACGCGGTGTAAAACGAGATGGACGGACGTACTCATTCCACCAGAACGGTCTCTCGGAATAGTTATCCAACTGCAGGAAAAGATGGTACCTGTGGTTACCTTGCCTGGCGCTCAGTATTGAGGGGATAAAACAAGGACTGGTCGGCTCGGAGTCAATATAACTACGGCATGGTATCGCAGCTAGCACTATAGAACCGGCACACAAACACACACGCACGCACATGAATATATAACGATGGGCAAAATGGTTTTCTTTCTGAAACGTTTCGGTTGTGTTCTATAGGCAGCCATTCGGTCAAAAAATACAAAGTTGAAATAAAGGACAAAAGTACGCAATAAAGGTTAAATGGTATGAGATGAATGCTACAAAATAAAGGTTATTTTTTACATACTCAAAATGCAAAACAATACCAATGAACAACCTGCAAACAAAACACGTCATATGTAAAGAAAGGAAGAACTGAACTGAACTGAAGAACGTCAGTGCACACAAGGGACTAATTGAGCACTTCGGCATGCATTTATCATACACCCGATTAAACTCGGAATGTTTAGCAAATTGCAGCGCAACGTTGTCCCTTGACAGTCCTTTAACATTCTTTATTCGTAATGGCCGAATGGCCTCCTATAGTGTTCAGGGTACAAACACACAAACATACAGGGTGTCCTGACGCTACGGATTGCAGGGTGTCCTGACGTTACCGAGTGCAGAGTGTCCTGACGTTACCGAGTGTAGGGTGCCCAGACGTTACGGAGGGCGGGGTGTCCTGACGTTGCGGAGGGCAGGGTGTCTTGGCGTTACGGAGTGCAGGGTGTCCTGGCGTTACGGAGTGCAGGGTGTCCTGACGTTACCGAGTGCAGGGTGTCCTGACGTTACGGAGGGCAGGGTGTCTTGACGTTACGGAGTGCAGGGTGTCCTGACATTACGGAGGGCAGGGTGTCCTGACGTTACGGCTAGCAGGATGTCCTGACGTTACGGCGTGCAGGGTGTCCTGACGTTACGGCGTGCAGGGTTTCCTGACGTTACGGCGTGCAGGGTTTCCTGACGTTACGGAGAGCAGGGTTTCCTGACATTACGGAGGGCAGGGTGTCCTGACGTTACGGCTAGCAGGATGTCCTGACGTTACGGAGTGCAGGGTGTCCTGACGTTACGGCGTGCAGGGTTTCCTGACGTTACGGAGAGCAGGGTTTCCTGACATTACGGAGGGCGGGGTGTCCTGACGTTGCGGAGGGCAGGGTGTCTTGACGTTACGGAGTGCAGGGTGTCCTGGCGTTACGGCGTGCAGGGTGTCCTGACGTTACGGAGGGCAGGGTGTCCTGACGTTACCGAGTGCAGGGTGTCCTGACGTTACGGAGAGCAGGGTTTCCTGACATTACGGAGGGCAGGGTGTCCTGACGTTACGGCTAGCAGGATGTCCTGACGTTACGGAGTGCAGGGTGTCCTGACATTACGGCGTGCAGGGTTTCCTGACGTTACGGCGTGCAGGGTTTCCTGACGTTACGGAGAGCAGGGTTTCCTGACATTACGGAGGGCAGGGTGTCCTGACGTTACGGCTAGCAGGATGTCCTGACGTTACGGAGTGCAGGGTGTCCTGACGTTACGGCGTGCAGGGTGTCCTGACGTTACGGCGTGCAGGGTTTCCTGACGTTACCGCGTGCAGGGTGTCCTGACGTCACGGAATGCAGGGTGTCCTGACGTTACGGAGCGCAGGGTGTCCTGACGTTACCGAGTGCAGGGTGTCCTGCCGTTACGGAGTGCAGGGTGTCCTGACGTTACCGAGTGCAGGGTGTCCTGACGTTACCGAGTGCAGGGTGCCCTGCCGTTACGGAGTGCAGGGTGCCCTTACGTTACGGAGGGCAGGGTGTCCTGACGTTACCGAGTGCAGGGTGCCCTGCCGTTACGGAGTTCAGGGTGTCCTGACGTCACGGAATGCAGGGTGTCCTGACGTTATCGAGTGCAGGGTGTCCTGCCGTTACGGCGTTCAGGGTGTCCTGACGTTACCGAGTGCAGGGTGCCCTGACCTTACGGAGCGCAGGGTGCCCTGACGTTACGGAGTGCAGGGTGCCCTGACGTTACGGAGTGCAGGGTGCCCTGACATTACGGAGGGCAGGGTGCCCTGACGTTACGGAGTGCAGGGTGTCCTGACGTTACGGGGTGCAGGGTGTCCTGACGTTACGGAGTGCAGGGTGCCCTGACATTACCGAGTGCAGGGTGTCCTGACGTTACCGAGTGCAGGGTGTCCTGACGTTACGGAGTGCAGGGTGTCCTGACGTTTCCGAGTGCAGGGTGCCCAGACGTTACGGAGTGCAGGATGCCCTGACGTTACGGAGGGCAGGGTGTCCTGACGTTACGGAGAGCAGGGTGTCCAGACGTTACGGAGTGCAATGGTCTGGCACTTGTGCGCCTTTAAACGTCTAGTTATTAATGTCAATAGCCTTCTATATTTATTATAATATATACTGTGAATATATTTAGTAATGAAATGAATAAAAACTACATTTCTATATCCATCATACTCCTAAAATTTGCAAGTAGATATCCTTTTAAAATCATAAATGTCAGGTAATAAATCAGTGTTACTTCCCTTAACCTCAGACCCAATAAACCACGGCAATGGGGACGCGGTATTCTTTCATAGGAAGTGGGAACAAAAAAAGAAAGATTTACAATATTTTGGGACGGCAGAGCTTCAAGTACTCAACATACTACCAATACAACGACAGTGTTGGTTTGACTATTGCAATGGTATCGTAAACATGTGTATAATTATTGCAATTCTAGTTAATTAAACTTCACCCATGACGTCAAAACAAGGACTGGTCTCCTCGGAGTTAGTTTTCTGTGTCTGAGTGGTGCATCTCAGTGGGCTAGCACTATAAATCGGCATCAGTCCGGACTAGTACAAGCAGCCACACACACACGTGCATGCACGTCGCTGTATAAGTACAATAATCTTAGACGCGACGTTAAACCCAATTAACCTCACCTCACACTGATAATTCAAAGTTTTCCGCAATAATGTAATAGAAGTAGACAGAGGAGGCCATTATAAGGAGGCAGAGGAACAATTAAGTTGGCAGGGAAGATAATTAAATAAACCGACAAATATACAAAAATGAAACGTTATTAATCAGGCAGATATAGGGACATTAAGTAGGCAAAGCAGGTAATAAAGTAGGTAGATGGGCTTGTCAAGTAACAGAAGAAGTAATGATGTGAGTAAAGGAAGCAGTCAAGTAAAGTATCTATCTATCTATCTATCTATCTATCTATCTATCTATCTATCTATCTATCTATCTATTCCAATATGATGAATGTTGAAAATAAATATAATTTTTCCATTTTCCTTTTCTGAATATATTTTTCTTGCGGGTGGTCCAGTGGTCTAAGGCGTCTCTGTCAAGACTGGCAGGATCCGCTTGGTGAGAGTTCGAATCAAAGGTTATGATGCGTCTCCATGTCTGTGTGGCTGCATCATGTTCTTAAGCCTTCTAATAGTATAGACCTGCCTCTGACGGGAATTTGGTAAGAATTGGTCCCGAGCACGTCCTCTGCTTCTCATAATGGGACGTATGTTCATTTCTAGGTTAGACTATGTACCCAGTAATGTTATTGGTGTCGTACGAGGCGACTATTTTAGATGGGGCGGTCAGACTGGGCGAATTGGTTGATTGTGTGTCAGCGGACAAAAGCATACATGTCGATTATTTACAGACTTGAGCCATATAGCTGGAATATTGCTATGCTTATAAGGATCCGTCATGGAGGATGGGGTGAGGGTCGCGCTGGGGTTTGGCTGGAAGGAGGGGACAGCAACATACTCTGCTTGTGCGTCTCACAATCGGTAAACGTCTGAGACCTGCTTCACGTCAGGTTTTCCTCCCACATCAAACTGACATGCCGTGATATATCTGTAATACTGTTAAAACCGGCGTCAAACACAACTCACTCTACCTTGATCAATACAAGTAGTGAGTGAGTATGGTTTTACGCCGCTTTTAGCAATATACCAGCAATATCACGGCGGGGGACACCAGAAATGGGCTTCACACATTGTACCCATGTCGGGAATCGAACCCGGGTCTTCGGCGTGACGATATCAAGTACCACTAGGCTACCCGACCGCCCCTCAATGCAAGTAGATTGACGTCAATTCTTATAAATAAAAGAGTCAGCAATAATAACTTCAGCTATTACTTATTTATTTATAAACACACAAACACCTGTAGACAGCGATATGAAATCTCATTGACGCCACTTAAGCGTAAAGAATGCTACACAAGCTTTGCCCATGCTTGCCAGTCAGATAATATTGGCCCGTTTGAGGCCGCAGCCTAATTATATTTTGTGGGTTTATATACACAAAATACATTCACTTCGATAGCCAATCAAAGCCATGGAATCACTCGAACTATACTTATTCAGTAATATTCAGAATGCTTAGCTTTAAAATGAATATTGTTCTAATGGTTTTGAAAAATATTCCCTTAGCACTCCAAGTCAACGTAACATTAAATCGGAATCATTACTGCAATGCGCCTCCGCCCACTATAGCTAGACAGAAACCCAGTCTTGGCTGTAATAAATGCTGTGCTGTTGAAGCACAGTCCGCGATCGTTAATCAACATAAACAATGTTGACAGTACAAGGACCTCAAAACAAGAAACAATCGCGCAAACGCACCAGTCAAACGAAACCCGCTTGATACCGACAACGTTCGCTGAACCAGACGCACACTGGATAGGGGCTCATGGCGGCACTGCTCACGTTATCAGGCAGGCTGTGGAACACTGGGTGATTGGATCATTTGCTAGCCATGGCTTCGTTCGTCACTGACAATAACAATATTCCGTCAAAACAGGACTATTTCCGAATATCCATACCGACGCTTTTAAGAATTCTGACCGGATTACCTCTGATGGGAGCAAGCGTGTGTGTTATTTTGTCTCTACTCTTTGATTTCGCCTCATCGACTGCTACACACTGCAAGGTACGCCGTTCTCATTGCCAACGTTTATAATCGATAATTTAATTTCCATTGCTAAATGTGCACTGTACTCCCGTGGAGTCGTGCGAGATTTGAGACAAGTGACATAAGCACTGGAGAAGTATTGACTAATTGTTATTAGTTTCCTTTCCAGTTACTAAGAGTAATAAGACTAAACACATGGGTGCTGTTGTACAAGACAAACTAAGGCGCGACGATGATCGTAAGTCTATGTTAAAGTATGGGAGTTGCGATCACCTCAGCGCTAAGATTCCTTTGTACAAGGGCACCTTGATCTCATTCAATACGAATGCGCTAAAGCCACGCGACACCAAAGCGATTGAGTTTGCGCCTGATATCGATTAATGGACCAGCCAGAAAGCGTAACGTGTGTTCGCACGCAGATTTTGTCAATTTCTAAGCTCCTTATTTATTTAATATAAAATGTCAAATATTACATTACATATAATCGATTAAGATGGGACAAGAGTGAGAGCATTCTTCCTGATATGAAAAGTGCGTGTTATATGAGTTTCTTACAACAATTTCCGATAGGCTCGTTTCACGCCATCTGGTGTAATTGTGGCTCGGTTCAATTGAGTCCCAGTACGTTTGATTACAGTTATTCACTACAATGATGTGTTTCTGTAAACTATAATATTGTAATTTATACTGATCTTACAGTTAATAATTTCCCTTAATACAAGAAGACAACGTCTCAGTTTGATACAAGTGGCCAAAAAAGACATCTAGACGTAATCTGAAAATGGGGTCCACACTTTTGTGCATACCGTAAATCCTTGAATAAACGCGGGGCCCTGGCCTTTGAATAAAAGGCCAGGGTCCCGTTCCACAAAGCGATCTTAGCGCTACGATTGTCGTAAGTCAGTGTTAAAGAATGGGAGTTACGATCGACTTAGCGCTAAGATCACTTTGTGGAACGGGGCCCAGGTAGTATTTTAGTCTGAAAATCTTAGGTTTGTGATGAGTGATTCTGGGAATTTTACCAATTATTGTCTGTAAGGATCTACCTACCGAATCAGTTTGAGGCACAGAACGTGAGGGGGAAAACAAGGCTTTCATGTAAAAATCCCATTCGGGATACATTGATTAGACGCCTCCCCCGAATTAACACCAGGTCTCTGGACCTTCCGAAATAAATATACACAGGGCGGTTATTTAAGGATTCACGGTACCCCGGTTTAAGCATACTTGCGTGATAATTATGAATTATGAGTGCCTAGGACATTTCAGTGATGTGCTTGAGGCCTTTGTATGCCCTCTTTTCATAGCTTGATGACCCGACTTCGGTCGAGCACTCAAGGCAATGAGAGAGCATGACTCAGGATATACTGAATGAATACCTGCCGCCCAACTTTTGTTGGCCCATTGTGCTGTTGATGGTTCAACGGTTAAGACAACCAGGTGGCTACCTTCGATTTCCGACTACATTCTAATCAGTTGATCAGTGTGTGCTTGTTCAGGAATAAACAGTGGGGTATAACCAGATCTGCATATTATAACAAAACATGTTATTTTTTATCATTCAATAATAATAATAATAATATAATAATAATAATAATAACAATAATAATAATAACAATAATAATGTGGGCAATCTCATTGAAATCAGAATGAAGTTCTCGCTACCGCAAGCGAAAAATTTGATCTGATTATCATCAGATATATAACCCGTATGCAGACGTCCAGATAATAGCCAAACATATATTCGTGGTCGCGAAGCGGCAAATCATTTTTAACCATTGATAAAAAACAATAACCTAAGGGAACAAGCTCTGCACAAACAAGCTTTAGAACCCAGTCACCTCTGTTGTGTTTTTCAGTGAGCAGATATGAACGTATGGAATTCTTGAACCAGCAGTGAGGTGCATGTTTTCAATAACACTTGTACTGTTACGTGCTTTGTGGTTTAATTAAGATCATAGTTGTCATTTCGAGGTGTCAGAACATTCATACATGTGTACATTGATACACCACAACGTAGTGAGTAGGATATACGAGTTTATCGTGATTATAGTGTTCGGGTTCAAATCTGCACATGGGTTCAACGCGTGACTCCCATTCCTGTGTCCCGCGTAAGCTGACCAATGCAGTCGGCTGTACGTGAGCCATCTCGCTTAAACGCAGCAGCTTCGACCCCTACACGTGCCAGAAACCGTGGATCGTGGGTTCGAATCCCAGATTCGTTCTGACTATGATTCATGCTGTGCGATGACAACAAGAAGTTTCTCTTATGTGTACCGGTAGGCAGGACATGTTTACCCTTTTCGCGAACACTTGGTGTCATCACTGATTTTCAGTGATCCATTCATTTAATTGTTTACAGCTATTATGTTTTTTACGTCCAATGGAATCGGCGGGTAGTCGAGACTGGTTACTCTCTGGCCTTGGCGTTTTATATATGGTAGTGTTATACTAACGGAAAAAAAGTAACTGATTCATATTAATTGGTGTTAATTTTATGTTATTGAAAATAACAAGATAATATTTGGTCATTCGTCTGATCAATATTTTATCATAACACATCCATTTACAAAACCCCATACCCGGTAACAGGAGACAGAGCGACATGCCTTAAAAGAGGGGTGGTGTACAACTCACTTACCAATGACAATATCGGGAGTGACCACTATTTGCGTTGAAACATGCGAGGTAGCGGATGTATATAGAAGACGCCAGGTGATTGATAACAGCCTGGGGGATGGGTGTTGTTCCAAGTGTCAACTGGGTTAGAGTTACTGATTGGTTCTGGTCCTGTCGTAGGCGTCGTACAACCTAACCCAAGGCAGGTTGTGTTGGGGGAGAGGTCTGGAGAAACATCAAAGAAGTCAAAGAGCCTGACCACCCGATCCATTTAGCCGCCTCATACCACTGGCTCCCGTGAAGATCCGGGTTGGAATTGGTCTTCAGCGGAGGGTCCATCTGACTAGTGGTAGGACACCACAGCAAACCATGCTTGTCGCAAGAGATTAACGGGACCTGGTGGTCAGGCTCGCTGACTTTGTTGATGCATGTCATCGTATCCCAATTGCGTAGGTCGATGCTCATGATGTCAGTCACTGGATTGTCTTGTCCAGACTCGATTATTTACAGCTGGTATGTGTGCTGAGTGCGACGTTGAACAACAAACAAACATACGACAAGCATAGGTTTTTGGTCACTTTCAGTCTTACCCGGAATACTGAAACAAGATATAGCATTAAGTAATGAGACGATCGAAACAAGAAACCTGACACTTTTTTCAGGGTATGAAACTCCCAAAAATTTCAGCCAGACCACAGGACTGGCTAGCTGAAATACTTGCCAGCCCTGACCAAAACCTGCCTGCCCACTATAATCATATGTTTCTCAGGATAAGCTGACGGGGTTTCTTTTGGGTTACATTTTATCATTCATCATTACATGTGAATTAATGCTTATCATCAGGAAATATTTAGAATATTTTCACATATGAAATATAACCCGACCGTCGGGCAGGGGGATTTGAAAATCTGGCAGCCCGAGTTGAAATCAACCCGTCTCGGACGGTCGGGCAGGCAGGTATTTCGAACACTGCTTATTTGAAATATTATTAAATAGACGAAACAATACTCCAAATGCAACGTATTTTTGTGATAATGAAGACAAACATATAGTTCTCATTGCACTTATTTACCCATGAATCCTATTGTATATGCATTTTAGGCAATCCTGTCGTCACAGGTATTTTCCCACCTCTCACGAGTTATGCTGTCAGCGCGTCACACAATGCTGCACCTGGCCGCGGTGACCTGGTACAACACAGTATAGTCTGTTTCATGTTTCGTATCGCTGGTTCGTATTCTTTCGTGACAATGTTATTTTCCGTAGATATAAATTAGTAAGAATGTTGTTATTTTCATATATGTTACTAATGATTGTCTTTATTTCAAAATAATCACATGTTAGGGCCATAACTATTTCCAACAGAATATAGTGTGTCAGTCCGTGGTACTCTTCATGTTGCATACAGTTTGACAATATACAGTAAGACGCCCTGTTCCCTTATCTTTCCACCCGTGGCTGGGATAAATACGCATAAACGGCTGTTGAAGCCTATCCTTCTCTGCTGAATGAGTGAGTAGAGTGTCTTAACGCCGCTTTTAGCAGTATTCCAGTATTATCACGGACAATAGTAATGTTTGTTTGTTGTTTAACGCCGCACTATTGCAGCTATTTGACGGCGGGCTGTAAGTAATCGAGTCTGGACCAGACAATCCACGAAATTGGGATTTGATGCATGACCACCCGATCCCGTTAGCCGCCTCTCACTACAAGCATAGTCACCTTTTACGGCACACATTGAACCATGTAGGGAATCGAACCTGGGCTTTCGGCGTGACAAGCGAACGTTTTACCAACTAGGCTACCCCACCATCCTCTTGTTGAGTACCTATGACCTGTGACTGCCCGCCAGTAGAACTCTGTCCGTTGTCCGATCACCTATCAGTCTGTTACTGATATGTTTTAGTTGGAATATTGCTGAGTGTGGCGTTAAACAACAAACAAAACATTTTAGGGACACGTTTGATGTGCAGTTGGGCTCCTTGCGTGCCAGAAACCCATGTCCTGATTCGGCTTGATTATGTTTCTAGATTTGTCGGCACCAACCCATGCTCTTGTATCTGACAGAATGGTAAACATCTGAGACCTGTATTACCTCGGACGTTCCTCCTAGATCAAACTGACACACAGTAAAATAACTGAAATTCTGTTCAAAGCGGCGTTTAACCAAACTCGCTCACCCAAAACTGATACATTTGTCGAACCTCAATTTTTAAATGGGTACCTGGTGCTGGCGTTTCTCTGACATATATTCCTATAGATAACTAATACGGATCAAAGACAGATATCAGTTACGAAGAGGGGGCACGGGTGGCCCAGTCGTCTAAGGCGCCGCGATTCGCTGTGCAGAGTTGCGTCCCTTGGGCACGCCAGAAACCTTTCATTGTGGGTTCGAATCCCGGTTCGCCCCGATTATGTTTCTAGGTTTGTCAGCACCATACCCGTGCTCGTGGGTTTCACCGAAGTGGTAAACGTCTGAGACCTGCATCACTTCGGGCTTTCCTCCCACATTAAGCTGTGTTACGACGTAAATTGTAATAAAAAGGTAAATTGTAATACTTGCAGCAAATTGTAATAATTTTGACGTAAATTGTAATAAAATTTGACGTAAATTGTAATACGCAAATTGTAATAAAAATTGACGTAAATTGTAATAATCTCAACTTGCGGTAAAATGTAATAACATTTTTCGTAAATTGTAATAACCTCATAAGTTTAATGTCAAAGGCGTTAAATGACTAGAACCTATCCTTGTCAGGGTTGGTACAGGGTTTATCGTACAATCGTCATTAGAGTATGGGTGTGGGGGAGGATTGAGGTCGATATCGTACATTGTTGTATAATTATATGTATATATAAACGCATTGGAATTTCATTTCTATGGTTGTCGAGAAGAGGATTAATTACTAAAGTACTTATGGAAATGAAAAAAACCTGTTTTGCTGGATTTAATAATCGACACAAAGCATTACGTAGATGTAAATACGAAATAACCAAACAACTGGAAAAGTACTAGTCTGGATTTGCTAGTTTTATCTCAGTGCTCAATACAAAATGTACTTTACAGGAGGTAATTTGTAGGCACATTCAACATTCAAAAATAAAACTAAGTCCAAATTGACATGGCAGAAACAGGCTATAGGCATTATGCAAATTAGCCTGGGAAAAAGTTATCAAAACAACAATAAAAATAACAGCTATGTTTATGTACATAATAATAATGACATGTAAATTGTTGTTTGAGAAGGGAATATGTTACTTTTACGTTCTGATATTTTGACGATGATTCACTATCCCACAATGCCACTCACAAATCACTAACCACTGACAAATCACATGCACGTGGGTTTCAAGCACCTGTTTTCACCTGTCGTCAAGGTGTCATAGGTCATGGACATTCACCTTGATCTCCTAACACCTGGTTATGCTCAGTTTCACAATAGTCTGTTTTGTTCATATTTTTACACACTTTTACGTGTAAAAAGACTGTATTTGTGCCAAGGCCCAATTAGTACTAATTGAGCTGTTTGAATACTTATATATTTTGTATATTAACTGCATTTATTTAAAATCGGAGATCGAAAAAACAGTTGTTTTTCATTTCCGTGAGTACTTTAGAATGAACTTAGTTTTCCTATTTATTTGAGAAATACTCTGTTTGTTTTGTACTTAATTGTAATATATCCTATTGACGATTTTCATCGTAATTGTTCATATTTAACCTAATATAATCATATTTCAATTGGTAAAGTAGGTAGTAGTATACACAATGGGATAATTATAACGTAACAAACTTACACAAATATATTGATGTGTAAATGTGGAAAGTCTGACTTTTACTGACTGAAGCAAATTTATTTATTTTGCAACTGTATATTTGTACATATTTTATGCGGAGAGGGGTTTACTAAGTTGCAAGAACTTGTCCCCAATACAATTCTCATTTTGTTCTGTGAATAAAATATGTTTAAACTAAACTAAACTAGCAAATGGATGACATGTCATTCTGCAGTAGTCTGCGTGCAAGCTGATTTATAATTGTTCATATACATAATATCAATTTATTATTATTCAAGTTTCAATTTTTTTAACGTTGCTCGGATGATGTAAAGCAAATAATGGCAATGTCCTGGGCGATGTACGTGTAGGTATGTGAACCCGCAAGGACTACCTTTATCAATTATTTTACGTGCAGCTTGTGTCATGTCTGTATTGTTAGAATGATACTCTAGCAAATGTACACATCGAAATTTATGACTGAAAGATCCATCCTCGGGCTAAAAATGATGGATTACATTAGGTACGTCTATTCGACAAATAGGTTAATTGATTTATCATCCAATAGTAGCTTAGCTAGGAGTCCATTGCAATAACATTGAGTTACGAGAGCTCTGTGCAACCGGACCCTGAAAATATGTCGATTTGCATTGGAGGTTTACTTAATTTGATAAGGAGCACATGTCCGTTTCCTTGAAACAAACGAGACAATTCAATCGTATTTATACATTAAATTTTGACGAGAATTCAAATACAACAAATGAGTGACAGATCTCCTGTGCAACGTCAAAGGAAAAAAACCAGTCGTCAGCAAATGCAGCATAGATTTCCCATGCATGGGAAAGGAGAATACTTAATACATAACATTATATACAATGTTTTTATTAATATCAAAAGAGGGGCGTGGATATTCTTTACCTACATTGCATATACTATTAGATATTGTGTATTCTCGATCTCTGTGAACTTCTCACAGATAAAGAAATACTAATAAATAAATGCAAACCATGTTAACTTATGCAATATTTGTAGCAATGTATGATTAACATATGGATCATTAATATAACATAAAATATTTCCTTTCATAGGAAGAAGTATATTGAATGAAATAAATGAATAAATGTAACTGTCTGGATTCCTTTCATATGTCATGAAGAACTAACTAATAACTCCTTGCCCAAACAACAAAAACAGATTCCATCATGATAACGGCACGAAATCATAATTCAAAGCATACACAAATAATATCCGGTATCTTCGGGCATGTCTTGTTGAGTTTCAAAGAGCATCAGAATGTATAATAAATTTGTTGCAATCAATTATTGCTGAAATATATCTGTTTTGATCAAAATTGAAAGGATGGAAAATCTATAACGAAAAGGGTTTTGTCACTCTCTTTTTTAACAATATGTCACAATTAAGTTATTTGTCGAATATACGGTTGTGTAACCCCTCATTTTGAACCCGAGGATGGATCTTTCAGTCATTTAAATTTATCGATGTTGACACCACCCTTTAATGACGATTGTACGATAAAGCCTATACCAACCATCTCTAACTTAACAGTTTTGTACGTTTGTCATCATACACAGTATTTCTCGAATTGTACATGTAAAACGCAAGCTCAACTGACAAAGATCATTTCTAGTCAATTGGCGTCTTGGACACTACGGTAGTAAGGTTATTACAATTTACGTAAGAATTTATTACATTTTACCGCAAGTAGAGATTATTACAATTTACGTCAATTTTTATTACAATTTACGTATAACAATTTACGTCAAATATTGTTACAATTTACGTTGTTATTACAATTTACGTCAAAATTATTACAATTTGCTGCAAGTATTACAATTCACCTTTTTATTACAATTTACGTCGTAACAAGCTGACACGCCGTGATATAACTGGAATACTGTTAAAAGCGGCGTTAAACCCAACTCACTCACACTATTACGAATAAAATGTCTCACATATGTCTTTAGATATACTTAACTTCAGATATGCTAAAAAAATACAATTTTGTCACTAGAATAAACAGTACAGAACACGCACGCACGCTCACATTGTCTCATGTGTAATATTCTCTGTGTACGTAATAAGAAGACGTTAAGCTATAGTGAGTGAGTGAGTTGGGTTTAACGCCGCTTTTAACATTATTCCAGTTATTTCACGGCGTGTCAGCTTTATGTGGGCGAAAAGCCCGAAGTAATGCAGGTCTCAGACGTTTACCACTTCGGTGAAACTCACGAGGACAGGTATGATGCTGACAAATCTAGAAACAGTATCGGGGCGAATCGGGATTCGAACCCACAATCATAGGTTTCTGGCGTGCCAAAGGGACGTAACTCTGCACTGCTGGGCCACCCATGCCCACTGGTGAGCTATAATGACAAACTAAACATTAAGTGTTCTATCAGTGTTCTGTATGCTATAAACCAATCAGATTAACTTGGTATCCCGATCCGCTTAGAACCACTGAGCAGGAACCTCTTTCTGTCATAAAACCGCTTTTCTTCCTCAGAGAGTTTAAATTTCCTAAATGTGTGTGTGTTATTAGATCCGTGAAGATCCGGGTTAGAGTAGGTCTTCAGCAACCCATGCTTGCAGTAAAAGGCAGCATGAGAGGGATGGTCAGGCTCGCTGACTTGGTTGATACATGTCATCGTACCTCAATTGCGTAGATCGATGCTCATGATGTCAATCACTGGATTGTCTGTGTAGTTCCATTATTTACAGACCGTCGTCATATAGCTGGAGTGCGGCGTTAAAACAACAAACAAACAACCAATCTTGTTTCACTGTTAAATCAGTGAGTGAATTGACGTCCCAAACAATTAATTATTTTAAGAATGACATATTACGATAAAATGATAATTACTCTCGTGTGTTTTCGTGTCGTATATATGAAGAATACGAACTGTATTACTATATTATGCGAGCCAAATGAAATAATTTTTATTCACTATATATGATATATTACGATACGTAAACATATTCGGTTAATAATATCCATTGTGTCCACGTGAATTATTTTTGTTTGTTGCTGTGTGACATCGGTTGTGGAGCAACGCGCAGAGAGACAATGCAACTGGTGGTCTGTACATAATCGATTGTGGACCAGACAATCAGGTGATTGACACTATGAGCATCGATCCACGCAACTGGGAGACGATGACATACATCAACCAAGTCAGCGAGCCTGATCACCGAATCTCGTTAGTCGCCTCTTACGACAAGCATGGGTTGCTGAAGATCAATTCTAACCTGGATCTTCACAGGTTCCACTTGAATGACGCTCACGTCACTATAAAATAGTTAACGTCATTTAATGTCACACTTCCTATTTCAGGTGGGGCGGTCGGGTAGCCAAGTAGTTAAAGCTTTAGCTGGTTGCGCCGAAGACCCGGGTTCGATACCCGACATGGGTACAATGTGTGAAGCCCATTTCCGTGATATTGCTGGAAGATTGCTTAAAGCGGCGTAAAATCAAAACTCACTCACTCACTCACTCCTATTCCAGGTACCCAACTACTTGCCTTCAATCAGCTCAGCAATCGGGGGCTACACTCCCCAGCGTTACATCTGGAGGATATGTATAGCCCTTCATTGTGCCCCTCGATTTCTCCTCGCCCTCGGCTACTTCAACTACCACACCTCCGTCGACATGCGACAGTACAACAGCATCTACACGGGGTTGGCAGCCTTGGCTACGACGTTACATATATGTGAAAATATGGCGCTGGTGGCATTGACGTATGTCTCGTCATCCGAAAACATCGGTACGTAATTGAAGATCTTATACAGATGAAATAGTTCTATATAATATCATTATATTCCTAACATACTTCTGGTTTCGTTCCCCAAAGTGGGCGGTAGGGTAGCTTAGTGGTTAAAGCGTTCGTTAGTCACGCCTCAGATCCGAGTTCGACTCCCCACATGGGTGGAATGTGTGATGCCCATTTCTAGTGTCCCCTGCCGTGATATTACTAGAATATTGCTAAAAGCGGCCTGACACCATAGCCACGATGTTAACGCCACGTCTCCTGTAAGTCAGTGTTATAGAACCGGAGTAATGACACTCGTATAACGCTAGGATCGCATTATGGAAAGGTGTCTACTTTCGCGACCCCAGTTTAGCCCCACGACTGTCGTTTAGTCCATGCTAAAGCATACAGGTCTTAAAACATTGGTAGTGCTACCATCGCTTTGGGCAAGTGGTCCTTAGGCCCTATTCCGCAAAGAGATCTTAGGTCTACCTCTGTCGTATGTCTAAGAACGTTTGTTTATGAACTATGCCCTCCTGTAATATCTGGGAAAAAGTCATAGTTTCCAAAAGTTTAAATATTGACTATTAAACTTCAAGAGGCGTTGAAAATGGACGAATGATATATTACAGTTTCCAAAGCACCAATGCCTGCGAAAAACAACTGCAACTATTTTTGTTCGTATATTTTTTAAGCCCCCCCAACCCCCCACATGCTTGATTTAGGTAACATGGCTCACGGATGGGTCGGTAGATGGGTATTTAGCTCACCTAATTGAAAATGTCAAGTGACCATATGTCATGGCGCGTTGTTCGTCCGGATGTCCCTCCGTCGAAAACCGACATCTCTGAAGCTACGAGTTGAAACTTTCTAAATGAATAATCCCAGTTATGGTGTCACTGAAAATAGATCAGAGAACGCTAATCCGGTATTAAACATGGCCGCCACGGCGGCCATATTCAAATGTCATTGTCCCCATTTATCCATGTAATATGAAATATTAGATTTGCGGCAAGCATGTGGTATGTGGAATAACCCGGACTCTACACGGGATGGCTCACAGCAGTTCAGTTCGGACTGCCGACCCTTGTTTGCTGGAGCACAAGGGTTAAACATATGCAATTGTGTCAATAGAACACTATGTAGACACTGGACACAAAAGTGACTTGAAGCGCGGCGCCAGCTGTTCAAACCTTCGAGCGTATAACAACAGCCGCTACCCTCAGGGCACACAGCGTTCTCAGCTCTGTGATTGTCGTAAGTCTATGTTGAAGTATGAGATTTACGATCGTCCCAGCGCTGAGATCGCTTTGTCGAACGGTACCCAGATTATTACCCACACGCTTCTTTTACACGTATTTACACCGTGTACGATGTGTTAACACTCGACGGGGTTTGTGAATGCAAACAGAGGTAAAAGCTCTCTCCGAGGGACGATACAAGGTTGAGATGACTTTCGTTTAAGGGACCGAGATCATTGTCATGGTCATTTATGTTAAACAGAATATAAGATATCACCTTCACACGTATTGAATCTCTGATTGATTAATAATCAATAGTTATATCAATATGGAAATTCAATTTGTAATATTCTAATAATATCACATTATTCCACAAGCACGTTCAATATATTTGCCTAACAGCATTTCTTGTGTAAAGAGCGTTTAGAGCAAAAACACTAAAGTCAGGTATAGGTTTTGTGCTGTAGTGGAGTTTCTGTTTCTGTTTCTGTTTCTGTTGAATATTAGAAAGATATTTATGAAGCAATACACAGACTTTACTGTCTTTTGAACAAACACGTTATTGTGAGATCAATACCACTGAGAAAGTGCTTGGTACGATAACACCCCGGGGATTGGTTAAAGGAGGCGATATGAATAGGTTTTATTGTTTCGGGATTTATCTTGAATGCGTTGTTTGACCTTCACTGTTACTAAATGTCATTTCATTTTGCAGATTCGCAGACCTAAAATCTGAGTCCTGGTATGGTCGATTGTTTGATCACAAATTCTTCTTTCAGAATTCCACGAAAATGCATTCATTGCCTTCATGGTGTTCTCACTCACATATATGCTGCTCATGTGCATTTTGTTCTCCTGGGGACGCACTGGCAACGGAAGAAAAATTACTCCCGTGGTAAGTACTAAATATAAGCGGCATATTTGTGTCGTTGAACAGACATAACTGTAAGGCTTCTGTGTGGAATTGTCAGTTTCATTCTTTTAATGGGGAAAAAGAGTTCCAGAACTATTGCAAAGCCTCCAGGCTCCTTAGAACTCGACTCATGTTAATAGACTCGGTACGTCATCCCAGGGGTGGGAAGAACTGCATCTCGCTCATTCGTCACTTCTCGACTCTTTCCGCAACGTCAGCTTGTCCCGGAATGACACGAGTAGGTTACGAATGCATCTCTGAGTTGCCCCTTAGCCCTGTCTCCCTATTCCATCCGATTTGGAACCTTGGTCTGTCGGCACCTCCACTGCTAATTGTCATCTCTCACAACATTGATTGTATATTTGCAGTGATATTGATGTGATATTACGTACTGGCTGTGGAGTTAAACAATATTTATTCTCATTTAGACATTTGACGACAGTAGAAAGATGTGGACGCATCACAAAGCAAGACCGAATCATATATTTCTGCCTATTGTGAGAAACCTGAAATGTTCCTGTCTTTCGAGCCACCTCTTTCACTCGCGGTGTGATAGCCTGGTGGTTAATGTGTTCGCTTGTCACGTCACCGTGAAGATCCGGGTTAGAATTGATCTTCAGCAGCCCAAACTTGATTGTTGTAATAAGCGGCTAACGGATGGGATGTTCAGGCCGGCTGAGTTGGCTGATGCATGTCATTGTATCCCAATTGCGTAGATCGATGCTCATGATGTCAATCACTTGATTGTCTGGTCCAGACTCCATCATTTACAGACCGCCGCAATATAGTTGGAACATTGGAGTGCGACGTTGAACTACATTAAACAACCACGTCACCGCCCGGTTTTAATACCTTGATTTGTACAATATCTCACCCATTCCTTCTCTCAACTGCGTCCTGGCCACAGCTTTACGCATACCTATGATTGTGGGTTCGAATCCCGGTTCGCCCCGATTATGTTTCTAGGTTTGTCAGCACCATACCCGTGCTCGTGGGTTTCACCGAAGTGGTAAACGTCTGAGACCTGTATCACTTCGGGCTTTCCTCCCACATTAAGCTGACACGCCGCGATATAACTGGAATACTGTTTAAAGCGGCGTTAAACCCAACTCACTCACTCATGCAATATAGTCACGCAACGCGCATCACGCAATGTATGGTAGACCAAAACATATATTTTTGTCAGGGGTGAAATATAGATGTTACAATTATAAATATGAATCTTCATTGCAGGAAAGGAAATCTCTTAACCTCAAGGCCACGTTGTTCATCTTTAACCTGTTCATTTTCCTGTTTGCGGTGTACCTTTACTTCCGACATCACGACTACTGCGAACCAGGAGGTATGCTTCCTATCAAATAGACCGTAAAGTTCGGGTGGAATAGGTCTTGAGCAACCCATGCTTGTCGTAAGAGGCGACTAACGGGATCGGAAGGTCAGGCTCGCTGACTTGGTTGATGTATGTCATCGATCCCAATTGCGTTTATCGATGCTCATGATATTAATCACTGGATTGTCTGGTCCAGACTCGATTATTCACAGACCGCCGTCATATGGATGGAATATTGCTGAGTGGGGCGTTAACCAACCAACCATATCAAATAATGTGTGAACAACTGATGCTGAACGTGGTTAGAGAGTTGTTTCCCGAAAGCTACTTGCTTCTCCGGGAGGGGGAGGGGGTGGGGGGGGGGTGGGGTGGGGGGCCTTGGGCACGCCAGAAACCTATGATTATGTTTCTAGGTTTGTCAGCACCATACCCGTGCTCGTGGGTTTCAACGAAGTGGTAAACGTCTGAGACCTGCATCACTTCGGGCTTTCCTCCCACATTGAGCTGACACGCCGTGATATAACTGGAATACTGTTAAAAGCGGCGTTAAACCCAACTCACTCATTCACTCACTAATTGCCTCGGGGTAAGCAAACATGTCCGTGAGCAAATACTTTGCTCTGTGTTATAAATGGAACAGTTTACTTAGGCATTGTATTCATACCCGGTTCTGCGGCAGCCACAGCCCTATTGAAAAAGCTATTTATCGCCGTTTTGTTCAATATGAAATGCAGTTTTGTATGTGTAGTTAGTAGTAGGACACAACAGATATGTTTCGGTTATTTTGAGAGGTTTACCTTGATATGACCTTTGCACGTGGACTTTACTGAAATTAGAAACTTCTTATGTCCTCTCCTCAGCCATTTTCTTTCAAAATATAATGATATTTGGTATTTGTGTATTTACTAATCCGGCTCATCTTAAATATTCTCCTTTATTTGATTGTTTTTATTTTGACCATGCTCTCAAATTGTCTGAAAATGCATTTTCTCCCGTTGGTAAACATCATCTCGCCAGAACCCTTGGACCAACGAAGCTGAGACTTCACATACTTGTATCCAGTATTAATGAAACCGATATGATATAATATTTGTTCAAAATATTCTAATCCGACCTGCAATATGGCCGCAACAGCTGTCACATTGGAAGGGCTGTCACGGTCATTAATCGGACAGTTAAGCGTAATAAATTTGGTGACTATTTTGCAAGCTCTGGGATAACTTCTGTTTATTTGTGTAATAATTTTAATTTTGACATTGCTTTTGTCGTCATGTTTTTATTTAATGCTTGGCTCTGTATTTCTTTTTTTGGGATACGATGACATGCATCATCCAAGTCAGCGAACCTGACCACCCGATCCCGTTAGTCGACAAGCATAGTCGCCTTTTACGGCAAGCATGTTATAGGAGACGTTCTCAATTAAATCGTCTGGAGTAAGACCTCATTATGACCTACGACTCGTTATGACGTAGGTTTTGCAACTAAAATACCAGGCTCCTATGGCTGTCGGGTGGGATTACATGAAGGTACCTACTATATCGCGAACCTTGAACTCGTGTCTCTTACCGTCATGGTGAGTGATTGTTGCGGTTTCTTTCTCTTTTCAGTATACACTGGATTTGCAGCGTGCGAGTATCTCACGGTGATATCTAACATAGCGTTTCACGGCACTGTGTCTCTGGATTGGAAGGACTACACGTTGATGCTCAGTCACAACGACTTTGTGGACAAATTACAGGGCAAGTCCGACTGATGACTGCCTTATGTTTAGATTGTTACTGTACATATAGAATGAGTGTGTTATTTTGGGAGCGTGTGGCTATTGTCTCAGCCTTTGTTCACATTAAAAGTATTAAAAACAGCTTTTGAGTCATGTTCCATTGAATTGTATATTTGTATAACAGAACTTGTTGAAGATTGCGTATATGGAGGTTTCATTAGATCGACGTGTATGCCTGGGGGATAGCACCATAAAGCGTCTCTTCCCATGAATAAGTCATCTTCCCGAGGCAAGAGAGTTAACTGACTTTAAAAGTCCAGTGGAAACTCTCTTGCCTCGGGGAGATGTGAATAAGTAGGACCAACTGATTCTTTCATACTACTGTAAATTTATTTTTCATGGAATGAAAGAATCGGGTGAAAGATTGCAACATTTTGTTTGTTTGTTTCTTATTTAACGCCGCACTCAGCAATATTCCAGCTATAAGACGGCGGTCTGTAAATAGTCTGGACCAGACAATCCAGTGATTGACAACATGAGCATCGAACCACACAATATGGATCGATGACATGCATCAACCAAGTCAGCGAGCCTGACCACCCGGTCTCGTTAGTAGCCTCTTACGACAAGCATACTTTTATTATTTTTTTAGTAGTGTAGAAGCGTCGCATTCCCACATAGGCACACTGATGGGATGGATGCCCCAATTAATTACTTTGTCCCTGACACATGACACGAAGGGTGAAACACAGACCCAGCCACATCCACCATCCAGTCGTCTTATGTGCTATAGTTTATTATGCAGAGTTGCCTCCCTTACGCGAACCAGAATACTATGACCGTGGGTTCGAATCCGAAATTTGCTTTTTATAATTCGTGGTTTGACAGCCCCACGCTGGTGTTTCACTAAAGTGGTAAAAGTCAAACACCTGCATAACTTTGGGGTCCTTCCCATGTTATACTGACGCGATAAACTGTTGTGGCGTTAAGCCCAATTTCCCCTCACTATCCTCAACCCAAGATGATAATGATCTAGCCAGTTAGTACGAATCAATTAAAATTAATTAACATCCAATAAAATAATCTTACCGCCGACATTGTCAAGTATAGTTAACCGGCAACATACCTTGTATTTAAGAAATAAATGACGGGTGGGAGTTGTTTATCTACAATAATACACTGCAGGGAGAATAAACCATGAGGGGCGCAACCCCGAGTTGTTTTCTCCTCCTCAACATTATGTTCAGCCTTTTTAAGCATGATTAAATGTACAAGCTTTCAAAATATTTACCCGTTTTTTAATAATGATGACTCCTTCAAGAGAATCCAACCTCTGCAATTTCGGACAAGTCCATTTTATGCACAGCTGGAGGGGGCACGGGTGGCCCAGTCGTCTAAGGCGCCGCGATTCGCAGTGCAGAGTTGCGTCCCTTGGACACGCCAGAAACCTATGATTGTGGGTTCGAATCCCGGTTCGCCCCGATTATGTTTCTAGGTTTGTGAGCACCATACCCGTGCTCGTGGGTTTCACCGAAGTGGTAAACGTCTGAGACCTGCATCACTTCGGGCTTTCCTCCAACATTAAGCTGACACGCCGCGATATAACTGGAATAGTGTTAAAAGCGGCGTTAAACCCAACTCACTCACTCACTCACAGCTGGACATTTCTCGCATATTCCCACAATCCTCACGTCGATTACCTGTCCCTTTTCTCCCAACACCGAATGTCATATCTTTCACGGTTTGGGCTTTCGGCAATCGCCTTTATCGGTGTTGTCCAGCTACATGTATCAGGAACAACTCACAAGACAATTCCCTCTCGAAGAAAATGTTCCTGAAAACTCTTGAAAAATAATTATTTGAACTTTGAAAAAAAGAAAAAGACTACCACAAAAAATATATTGTTGTCAGGTGTTTTTCCAGTCTCATAGGTTTAATTGAAAAATATCTGGTTTTGCAGCTGAAGCTGAAAAAATATCTGATCTTGATACAAAATTCCTGGCCCTCCCCCAGAATATGAAATAGTCGGTCCCTTATCACCATGATGCTATACACTAGATACGACATACATCTACCATCTCATTTATAGGGGGCTGTGCTCAATGGTCCAGTCTAGGTCTAGGCGTAGTTATTGTCACGTGTGAAACTGGGACATCATCTCTGTGTAATTAGGACTCGTTAACTTGCTAGATTGATAGAATCCTCCAATTAGAGTGACGCCCTGAATTAAACTTTCCGTTACCCGTTAACTGTCTACAAGGTGGCACGTTGTCCCGTTAACAGGGCACTGGCCACAAATCAGGTTAATTGCCGGGGTAATAATGTAACGCTTTCAGCATGCTTTCGGTTGTGGACTTGGCGCATTATAAATACACACATTATTATTATATCTACGAAACTGACCGCCTCCGTGGTCTAGTGGTAGAGCGTCTCCCCGCAGAGCGGAAGGTCCGGGGCTCGATCCAAGCATGTATCAAAATCGGCAAAACTTTCGATATTTGGTAATGATATAGAAGAATGTCCTATCAAAAATCGAAAATGTCCTAGTGCCAGCCATTATGACAACTTCCGTTACTATGTTGTCTCTACTGGTATTAGAGAATATTTATCTTCTTCTGTAAGCCCGAAGTAAAGCAGTGCTGGCAAACCAAGGTAAGGCGAATATGCCATTCGAACCCTGGTCAGCGTACTTAGTCATGCACAACAAAGGGACGAAACTCTGCACACGGAGATGCAGTCAGTTAGATCATATGTGTGTGTGTGAGCACAGGCCCATGTAACTAATAATAATAATAATAATAATAATAATAATAAACAAACACAAAATATTCTACTTCGGCCTTGCCTGCGAGTTGGTTTATTATTATTATTAGTTACAAGGTCATGTGGTGTGAGTATGTGTGTAATGAGAGAGAGAGAGAGAGAGAGAGAGAGAGAGAGAGAGAGAGAGAGAGATCAGAATCGCCTGGTATGTTCTACAAATGTCGTCCCAAATAGTCGCGAATATGTGATTCTATCGGTTGTAAATGTTGTGAGGCACATACAAAAATACCTAAACGTTTATGAAATTGTCGAGACGTTCACGATCTCATTCCGCTGAAGCGCAGATAAAATCTGTTAATCCCGACCACGTGTTCATCCACGAGGATATACGTGGATAAATCCAAACTTCAGCTGTATATCCCACTTGATATCACTAAAGGAATAGACTCGAAGATGCCTATACACAAACATGGACTTCAAATTGGGAAACCTTTACGAAGGGTGTATTCTATATTATCATAATTAAAACTAGAAAACTATCTAAAATTCTTACAGCAAAAGATTTTGCAACATCGATTGAATCTCAGGACCTCACAACACAACAGGTGGGTTTTCAAAAATATACCTCTGGAGGGAATATTGGAATTTCCCCACTATTTTCTTAAACATAATTTTAATTGTACATACGTATTAAAACAATCCACGGCTTTCTGCGTAAAGAGTAATTGATTGATTTATGACAGGGTATGAAACTCCCAAAATTTTCAGCCAGACCACAGGATTGGCTAGCTGAAATACTTGCCAGCCCTGACCAAAACCTGCCTGCCCACTATAATCATATGTTTCTCAGGATAATTTAATTAAAACTTTAAATCGAATTCACTGAACACGAAGTAATGCAAGAAAAGAAATAGCAAACACTTTTTAGGTCAGATTTGTATTTAATATCCTAGAATACATCATGTAAATAATGCTTATCATCGGGAAATATTTGGAATCTTTTTACAAATGAAATATAACCCGACCGTCGGGCAGGGGGATTTGAAAATCTGGCAGCCCGAGTTGAAATCAACCCGTCTCGGACGGTCGGGCAGGCAGGTATTTCGAACACTGTTTATGACCCTATTCATGGGTTGTGTGTGACCAACACGCCGTCAGCCCGTTACGGGTCATGGCAATGCGCTCTAAATGAATCAGGTTAAAATGTAAATATATACCTTTCAAAAGAAGTTAAAGTACCCCCAACTCTTTCATATGACCATGGCTTATCAGCAATAGCTGATTGTTCTGCAACACACAATAATTGTAATTTGTTTTGAGTAGTATTTATTACAGCGTGAAAGCCTTAATACTGTTGTCCGTAAATATTCTTTATGACATTTGATTTATGATAAAGTTGCATTGTGTCTCTTGTCTAAAGCAAGTCTATAAGTATATGTACCTGCACATAGTGATTTGATAAACACCGCTGTGAGTGAGTGAGTGAGTGAGTATGGTTTTACGCCTCTCTTGAGGAATATTCCAGCAATCTCAGGGCGGGGGACACCAAAGAATCCACGTGGGGAATCGAACCTGTGTAACATTATATTATATTACATTATATACAATGTTTTTATTAATATCAAAAGAGGGGCGTGGGTATTCTTTACCTACATTGCATATACTTTTAGATATTGTGTATTCTCGATCTCTGTGAACTTCTCACAGATAAAGAAATGATAATAAATAAATGCAAACCATGTTAACTTATGCAATATTTGTAGCAATGTATGATTACCATATGGATCATTAATATAACATGAAATATTTCCTTTCATAGGAAGAAGTATATTGAATGAAATAAATGAATAAATGTAACTGTCTGGATTTTTTTCATATGTCATTAAGAACTAACAACAACTTACTGACAACTTTTGCTGGGATAATAACTCCTTTCCCCAACAACAAAAACAGATTCCATTATGATAACGGCACGAAATCATAATTCAAAGCATACACAAATAATATCCGGTATCTTCGGGCATGTCTTGTTGAGTTTCAAAGAGCATCAGAATGTATAATAAATTTGTTGCAATCAATTATTGCTGAAATATATCTGTTTTGATCAAAATTGAAAGGATGGGAAATCTATAATGTAAAGGGTTTTGTCACTAACGTAAATATTCTCTTTGACCATATACGAAGAGTATTCTAAGATCATTAAACTCGACAATCGTTGGTGGATTGCGCCAAGCAACCTTGATACCAAATTTGGTACCTCACGTATAATGCGGTACATAATTTTCGAAAAAGATAATTACGTTTTTCATAAGTTATCACTAATTTGTGACATATATACGGACAAAAATTACCTCAGAGGATAATCTACTCTTGGGGTCT